GATAACACTTTGGGCATGGGAACTCCTAAGGTGGATCTAAAATCTATTTCCATCAATGGTTATAAAATTTGTAGTAATAAAAAGGGTACACTTGAAAATGGGAGGTTTAGAAAATGTATTTCAATGTAGATTATCTTTAGGACTTAAAATCCGAGTTTCTTCCAACCATAATAATCAAGGTCAAGATGATTGATTTGAAAGTTTTTCAATACCAAAACTATAATTTTTACTCAATTTTGAGATGAAGCTTTATTTATTTATCCTATAGAGCCTTGGCCTTATTTTAACCCTTACCATTTGAATTTGGACAAATCCAATGCAACAAGGGAAAAAAAGAAAAAATCTCATAATTCTCTCTCTCCTCGCTTACTCCCACATAGACTTCATTCGTTGTTCATCTATGTGAATCTTTAAAAACACTCTTATTAGAGAAAGAAGATAGCGATGAAGGTAAAAAAATGCGTATTTTATCATGTTTAATTGCGTTATTCATCAAACACCAACCTTGTAGATATAATATAAATAAAAAATATATAAAACGAAAGAGAGCCTCCAATTTGGATATCGTATTTTAATCAGAAACAAGTAACATGAGAATTAGTGTCATGAAATACACTTGCTAGTGGCCCATGAAAAGTGAGAAATAACCAATTTACCCTTGAACACTAGGCAAACAAATAACCTTCCTATTGGCCAGTGGATTTATTTCTAGGCCGGCATAATGGCCTCATTACAATTTCTTCCAGTAAATGTGATCATCACTTTTTTCTCATTTTTTATTTTATTTTTATTTATTTATTTTTTTGAAAGACACTGTTCACTTGCTTGTTGAAAAACTTTTTCTACACGAGGAGAGGAGCAAGATAAGGCCCTCAAAGTGGTTCATGAGTGACCAAAACACATTGAAGGAAGGCTCAAGCTCAACGGGAACGTTTTTAATGGAGAAACATGTGGGTTTCTTTGCATAGTTGCTAATGCTATAAGGTTCGGCATGGGAGTACTAGGGGAGGCTGGGGGAATAAAGTATTATGATCCTGGGGAAATGCTGGTCCTTCATTCTTGGATCCAAGGGTTCAGAGGCATAGAAGTCGGGCAGATGTTTCCATCTTGCGATGAGCTTGTCTCCTACTTTAGGGGTCGCCATGAAGCCCTACTTGGAAGCCCAACTTCCTCTTAATCAAATGAAGGGTACCCAATTGCATTTCATTGTCTCATGCTATGTCTCACAACTCTTGTTTAAAGTTTTCCTTCAAGGTGTGTTTGATTGGTAGAAATTTAATGAAAAATTCAAGTTCCACTAAAATAAACTTATGCAAGGAAGTTGCAAAATGGAAGAGGCGGCTTTAGAAAGCATGTAAACTTGACGTTAAATATGGAAGCCGCTCCTTCCATGTAAATACCCCCTCCCACCAACAAATTCCCTAGTATTGGCACTTGTTCAAATTTTGAAATAATGTTATAAAAAAATTAGCTTTGTGTTTAATTGGTGAGGGGCTCAATGAGTAAAAGCTGATCTCACCACCGCCTATTCTTGTCACTTGTCAAACTTATAGGATCTAATTTTCAAAAAGGGAATAAAAAAATAAGGATAATGGTTTTAAAATATTAAAAAATATTCAAACTTCAGGGCAGGCAATGAGTTGGGCCTCGGTCGGACCAGTCATATCCCAAGTCAAAACTTAGGCCCTATAGGGCTGGCCCAAGCCTAGCTTGGACCCGACCAAGCTAAAGAAGCCCTAGCCTATTAGAGCTGGGATAGGTGAAGTACAACCAAAACCAAAAAAAAAAAAAGGAAAAAAAGGATTGGGCTTGGCCGAACCAATCCGGCCCTATTGTGGTCTAGCCCTCAGACCACATTCTAGCTTTTTAGAGCTGGGCCGGGGTGCACTTCCCAGCTCATTGCCAGCCCTACAAACTTTGTTTAGTAACTCTTTTGTCCAACCTTGTTTAGCAACAGCTGAAATCGGCTAATCCAAAAATGCCAAATTAGTTAAGAATTGATTTTAACTTAATTTCAATCAAATCAAATTTTTACTTTTGACCCAGACTGGCCAAGGTATTGGACAATAATCGACTCGGTAGGATTGCCAGTTGTGTCTTGCCATTCTTAAACACTAGCTGAAATGCATTAAGAAAAGAAAACAATGAAATTTGGGATTTTCATATGCAGGGTTATGAGCTCTGCGTGGATTTTATCAATGGTGAAAGAGCTTCTTTCCCAAAAGGATGTATGATTTACTCCCTTTGCAAATGGGAATAAGTAAGGATGTATTTCCCATGTTGTACCTAGATACTACCGAAACAACAACAATTTATTTTTAGAAAATGTATTACGCTAGTAATTTATTACAACAGTAATATTTCATAGACAATATATTTTCAGGTACCCACAACGGCTCCTTAATGTCCGTATTTTCTAGGTGAGCTTTTATTTAGAAAAGTTAGAGTATTTCTTTTGAAGTATTCTTTTGAAATAAAAAGGGAAGTACAATGAAGTTAGCTTGGGAGGAAGGTTATCCTTTAATTCGTTTAGGAAAGTTTCTCTTGTATTAGGTGGGGGTAAAAGGTATTTATCTTTAGTTTTTAAGAAATATATTTTGTTTTCTATTTCAAAGGGAGTATTATATTTTGTGTTAGGTTGAAACTAGGGAAAATAACGAGTCATGTAGGTGACAAGGATGAAGTAGGGAGTTGTAATTATATTTTAGGAAGTTGGATTGAAGAATATGGAAAGAATCTAGAGATCGATTTATTTTGGTTAGTTATCGTTTTTAGTAGGAACATATATTAGGAGTTATCTTTTGAGAGTCACGTGAGGAGGTGATTTAAATGTATAAAAGGTGGTATGCACCATGTAAAGGGAGATGGAATTGAATTTGATGAAAGAAAGAAGTGTTTTTTGTGGAGAGATAGAGAGGCCCTTTGTGGGTGTCGGAATACTCGTATCCATGCATTTAGTTCTTTCTTCTTGTGATTACCTTCCCGATTTTGTTTCTTTCTCTTAAACATGGTTACTTTTGCTTGGTGGTATTCGCCAGTAAATTTTATACTACGTCAGGTGATATCATAGCTAGTCGATTCTTGTGGATCATGGTGTTCATCGATTGGCTTCATGGCTCATGGATAAGGTCTATAGCCTGGCATCGGGACTCAACCCATCCAATGAGAACGAAACCTCCGAGGTCTCTGAGAGATGGAGAACTTGAGAAGGCAAGATAAGAGCTGACCCTGTGTTTGGAGCAAAAACTAGCTTCGACACACTATGATGACAGTAGTGAGTCAGACGCTATTTTTGAGAACATGTTCCATGCCAACGCTCTGTGTAGGAAGCCTCACATGATCAGAAGTGTGATCTATTTTCTCATAGCTGGGAACTTGATCTGCCTAAGTTTGATGAAGAACTAATTGAAGATGAAGGACGTGTAGTTTTTGGATCTTCCATTGCAATCATCATTCTTGGATGTCATAGGTTACCCCATCTTTGATGAACTTCCTCTTTTTGATAAAAACAAGATGAAAGGAAAGAAATTATCCTTGAGGCAATATGGATATCTAACTTCTTATTGATTGAGAGGTGGAAACTCAAAATGTTGACTTTATCCCAGAGGAGATCCAGCTTTTAGAGATGCATAACGAATAAATAGAAGCATATGTGATGTGCCCTAATGGGATGTTTGAGCAATTTCATAACATGATGTTTGAGCACTTTCAGCAAGTCGATGTGGCTGAAAAATCAACATACAACGACCATTTCCTTGAGGGTTTCACAATTTTAGTGCATCATCGTTGTGTCTTGATCAATGCAATAACCCACATGTTGCATGATCCTTTTTCCAATTGTCAAGAAGCATATGCGATGTCCTCTAATGTGATGTTTTAGCAATTTCATAACATGATGTTTGACCAATTTCAGCAAGTCGATGTGGTTGAAAAATTAACATACAACGACCCTTTCTTCAAGGGTTTCACAATTTCAGTGCATCATTGTTGTGTCTTGATTAATGCAGTAACCCAAAGGTTTTTCAATATTCAAGTTGAAGAAGGCAGCATGACTACTACAAATCTTATCTTAGTGCACTTTAAAACTCGAGGACGAGTTTTCTCCAACCAGGAGAGAATGACGCAGATCAAAATTTAGTGGCTACAAATTTTAATTTTATTTTTTGTTAATTTTATTTTTAGAGATTGGGTAGACTTTTTATTTATTTTATTAGGATCAATGTTTAGAAATAAGATTAATAGGGATTTGTTTAATTTATTTTAATAAAGTCTATATTTTAGGACGTGTCTGTTTTGAAAAAAGATAAATGTTTAGTTGTATTTTAGTATCCATATTTTCTTTATTTAGGAAAGTTAAAGTATTTCTTTTGGAGCCTTCTTTTGAAATAAAAAGGTATGTACGATGGAGTTAGCTTCGGGGAAGGTTATTTTTTAATTCGTTTAGAAAAGTTTATCTCTTGTATTAGTTGGGGGTAAAAAGTATTTATCTTTAGTTTTTAAGAAATATATTTTATTTCCTATAGTAAAAGGAGTATTATCTTTTTGTGTTGGGTTGAAACTAGGGAAAATAATGACTCACATAGGTGGAAAGGATGAAGTATGGAGTTGTAATTATATTTTAGAGTGTGTTTGGTAAGCGGAAGTTTCTAGAAGTAGGAGTTAAATGTCCCACTTCCATGTTTGATATTACTGTGGAAAATGTAAAGTGGAAGGGCGACCTTCCATGCAGCTTTTTTTAATGTTAAAATGGATTCATTTTTGGAGGACCTCGCTTCCATAAAAAAATTATGGAAGAACAGTTTTCCATAATTCGTGGGAGAGTACTTTCCACTCCCAAAAACTCCATGTGTCAAACACACTCTTAGGAAGTTGGATGGAAGAATATGAAAAGAATTTAGAGATAAATTTATTTTGGTTAGTTATTGTTTTTAGTTTTTAGTAGGGAGATATATTAGGGGTTATCTTTTGAAAGTCACGTGAAGAGGTGATTTAAATGTATAAAAGGATGCACGCACCATGCAAAGGGAGATGGAATTGAATTTGATGAAATACATAAGTGTTTTCTTGTGGAGAGAAACAGAGAGGTCCTTTATTGGTATTGTTTCCTCTCTTGTGTTATGGACCCGCGTCAGAATACTTGTATCCACGCGTTTGGTTATATGCATCGATCTCGCCCTCCGGGTCGGGTTGACCTAGTGGTATGGTTCCAGATTCGAGATGGACCCGAGACTCGAGACTGCTCTCTCGGGGAACCACATGAGGAAAGACACGTGGGTCCATGACACGCTCAGGCTAGCTCGCATGGGCACCCTCTTGGATCACATGGAATGTCCCCTCTAGCTTGTGGCTTGTTCGGAATCGCCTCTCTTGACCTGTTTCTTTTTACCTGCAGTCACACACACACACATTAGAGTACAGACAAATGGGTCTGAGGACCCCACCTTGTCATAGGGTGAGCACACATGTGTGTATGTACTCAATGGAGAATGAAAGAATTAACATAATGAAATCCGTGTCAATTTGACAGCTTTACAGCGTCTCCTTGACAAGAGACTCTTAGTACATATTTTACAATGAAGGGAAAGAGAAGAGGGGTTAGATAGAGAAAGAATATTAAAGAGGAGATAATTTTTAGAGAGAAGATAAAGGAAAAGAGGGGGGGTAAAGAGAGAAAAAGATATCAAGGCTGGTTTGGCTGTCACCCAGCATTTCAAAGAGAATAGAGAAAGAAAAGAGGGATGAAAATTGGTTTGTCATTCACTCAACACATGAGAGAAATAAGAAAGAGAGAGACAAAGACTGGTCTTTTTTTCACCCAGATCCTTCCTAGATAAGATGTATTCTTAAGAAGAGAGTGAGAAAAGAGGAACGGAAGGTGGTTTAGCTTTCACCCAACTCTTCAAAGAAAAAAATTTTTGGAGAAAGAAGAAATAATACTCTTTAAAGATGTATTCTTAGGACTTGCACGACAGCTGGTCTGGCACAGCGGCTGGTCTAATGTGACAGCTAGATGGACTCAATAACTTGACCGGCACGATGTCTAAACTGCTCGACGACAAGACTGGCACGACAGCTGGTCAGGTACAGCGGCTGGTCTGACACGGTGGCTAGACGGGCTCGGTAACTTGACTGGTACAACGACTAAACTGCTCGGCGATAAGACTGACACAAGGCTCAGCCTGCCCTTTGGTCAAACAAGCAAAGGAGAGAAAGAAGAAAGGAGAAAAAAAATGTCGCGCTTGGCAGTATTTACTGCCATACAAGATGGAGAGGAAAGAGAGAGAAGGAAGTGTCACGCCCGACAGTGTTTATCGCCATGCGAGATAGAGAGAAGAAAAAGAAGGTCGTGCCTGACAGTGTGCACTGTCGTGCAAGACAGAGAGAAGAGAGAGAAGATTGTGCTCGACAGTGTACACTGCCGTACGAGACAAAGAGAAGAGAGAAAAGGTTACGCTCGACAGTGTGTACAACCGTGCGAGACAGAGAGAAGAGAAAAGAAAGAAGAGAGAGAAAGTCATGCTCGATAATGTGCATTGTCGTGCAAGACAGAGAGAAGAGAGAGAAGGTCGCACGCGACAGTGTGCACTGCCGTGTGAGACATAAAGAAGAGAAAGAGAAATGTCACGTCGACAGTGTACACTGCCATGCGCAACAGACAGAGAAAAGAGAGAAAAACATCACACTCGACAGTGAGTGCTGCCGTGCATGACAGATAGGGGAGGCATGAGAAAAGAAAAAAACAGAGAGAGAAAAGGAAAGAAGAGAAAGACAAAGAAAGAATAAAAAGAGAGAAAGAAAAAAAGAAGAGAGAGAAAGGAAAAAATAAGAGAGAAAAAAAAAGAGAGAGAAAGGAAAAAATAAGAGAGAAGGAAGCAAGAGAAAGAAGAGATAAGGAAAATAGAGAAAGAAGAGAGAAAGAGGAGAGAAATGAGAAAGAAGAGAGGAGAGAGAAGGTTACCTTTGAGGCCCAAGGGTACCCATCCAGATTTTCTCTCATCTCACTCTCTACAAACCATGACCCAAGACTCAAGCAAGAATTTTTATTGATTGAGGAAGGATCCATTACATGAAGAGAGTACATACTTATAATTTAATCCCGTTAAGTATTTTACAAGCAGTTTCATCCAATTTAATGATTTTTTTTTTTAAAAAAAAGAAAAATGTACGAAAGAGGGGTTTTGGGGTTGGGTTGAGTTGGAGTTAGGGCTAGCAATGGGCCGGGGCTGCCTTGGCCGTACCTGACCCTATTTTGATGGGGCTATGTTGTGCAGGGTAAAATTAAAGGAAAACAATACAAAAAAGATGAAAAAACAAAGATTGGGACATGCCAAACGGGGTTGGGCCTGTCTTGGCTAGCCCAAGCCCAGCCCTTAAGACACATTTTGTGGCCCACGCCTTAATTTTTTAGGACCAGGCCGACCAAGACAGGCCATTTGACCCATTGCCATCCCTAGATGGGGGAACCGGGTTGATACCACATTTTTGGAACTAGTTCAATCACGGCCAAACTCCAATCCCGATTTCTCCTGATCCATATTCCTCAATCTCGATCGCTCGGTTTTTGAAAGACTTGCGAGGAATCAAGTAAACACAAACGGTGAGAGATATATATTAATCTCCCTATTATATATTTTGACTACTGTCTTTTTGAATTTCAAATTTGCCCATTTAAGTTTTATTTATACCATATTGATTATTTAATCTCTACATAAATATCTCTCAATTGCATCTTATTAAATATCTATTAATCTCTCTCTGCTCCTCAATTAATGTCCCATTAAATCTGGCTTAAATCGATATTGCCAAAATAACATGTATCTATTCATTAATTGAGCATAGTATTATATTGGTAAAGATAATCATAAAGTAAATATTTAAAAGAGATAATTATAAATTAAATATATAAAAATGCAATTATGTAATGCAAATGCATGGCTTTTTTTTTTTTTTTTGTAATTTCACTTTCTTTAATTTTTATAATAATATTTATTTACAAGTAAATAATATATTTACTAATACAATTGTAAATGATTTTAAATATTTTTTAAATAATAAAAAAGGGAATTAATTATATTTTTACATTGTGATTTTTAACAATTATTAAATTATTACACACTTGAGAATGCAAAAATAAAAGAAGAAAAAAGTACCCTCATATTCATTTTTTAACCATTATTACAAAATTACCTCTTAGTTCACGTTATAACTTCTATACCCATTTTTTTTTTCATTATCAAACTTTTTCTAAAAAATGTCAAAAAATTCCAGTTTTGAATCAAAATTCTCAAATTTTTGGTTTTCAAAAATTGAAAATCTCAAATTTTTAGTTTCTGAAATACGGAAAATATCAAATACTTAATTATTCAAAAACAGAAAATATTCATTTTTTTGTTTTTTTAAAATATCAGATATCAAAATTTTGGTTTTTCAAAAACCCAAAAATATAAGGATTGCAAACACTAATAACATCGTTTATTTTTACTCGAAACATGAAATACGGGTAACCAAGCTACCCATATTCTACTTCTTATAACTTTTTTAAACATATCCTTTTTATTTATGTGAACATGTACATTTCAGCTCTTAATAGAAACATATCCTTTTTATTTATGTGAATTTGTATATTTCATTTCTTGATAGAAACAACTCCCATTCTTTTTACATGGCTATATGTGTCAAGCTTATAACAAAACGCATGTTGCAGACTAGAAACAATAAAAAAAGAGGTGGCTAATGGATATCACACTTTAAAAGAAAAAGCAAAAAAGAAAACAATTGGCTCATGAATAGATGTACGCTATGATACAATTTCAAAAAAAATAGATGTAACAGGGGAGTCTTATATATAGAGAAGAGTTACCTGAAAAGATAATAAAAGCGACGCAAATAACATAGGCTAAGCAGGCTTCAAGAGATAAGAGAAACTTGTTGAAGCCCGTCTAGGGTTTGGATATTGAGATTGATTGAGGTCAAATTTAAAGCTAATATGAAAACTTGATGTTATTCTTTTATTTTTATAAAGGGTGCGGTTTGTATCATAGTTAGCAAATTGGTGATTAAAAGCCGAGTTTTTCAAAAAAAACGGAGCTTTTTTTAAAAAACGTTTAAAACGGGACAAAAAAAAGGTTATTTTTCTTGCTGATTTTATAGATAAAAACCCAAAAAAATAAAAAGAGCCATGTTTCTCTGTCTAGAACCACAAGCTTTGGAACCTGCAAATTACAGAGAAAAACCCCATTGAACCACAGTCTTTTATATTGATTTTACAAAGAAAAATCCAAAAAAATGAAAAGGGCCCTGTTTCTCTCTCTAGAACCTCAACCTTTGAAACCTGCAAATTATAGAGAAAAAGCCTCATTGGAAAATTACAAAGAAGAAGAATAAACAGGAACCTTAATGAGGAGTAGAACAACCTTGTTTGCATGAATCTTGTTCTGCTGGTTTCTCTCTGAAACCTCGATGCTCTTACTGCTCGTAAACCTAGTTTTGTAGCAGTTCCTTTCATAATCCTGAAAATACAAGGTATGGTTGCGCATCGATATTGAATGCATATGCATATGCATCTGCTCTGAGACTTACAACATGAGAAGAGGAATTATGGCACCACACTCCCTTCCACTCACAGAAACAGTTCCCCCATTCTTTTGTTCTCTCATCTATCCCTTCTCTCTCTAGAAACTAGAAACAAGAGGACTCAAACCCAAATGCAAGCATGCATATAAACCCTAATCATTAACCGTAGTTATAAAGTTGTTATATTATAGTGAAAGCATTTGATGAAAAAATAAATAGTCTTTTTTTTTTGGTATGTAATTAAGTAGGTGTGATATTTGCTAAAGTATTTAATGAGAAAATTTTTATGGTGTATTTTTTTTTAATACGCATTTAAGTAGGTTTGATATGGTGTATATGTATTTTTTTTATATGTATTTATCAGATTTTTTGATTCAGATTTTTTGAGCCTAGTCCGATAAATTGGCGATAACTTCACATGAAGTATTTTTGTCGATCCGTATTTTTTATCCTATTTTTTCATCCGACTTTTTAAAATAAAAATGATTTTGATAGTCCCCGACTTGCTAACTATAATTTGTATGGAGCCCAGGCTCTAAACAATCAAAGTAAAGCTCACTTTCAAATGGTATGGAGAAATGTGGTTATTAGCCTTAAAATATATAAAATTTTTAATTATAAAATTCAAAGCTTCAAAAATAGTGTAGATCCAATAAATCTATACAAATATGAAAATCTTGAACATTGATAGTCTAAAAATGTGTCACAAGATGCACTATTTTCAAAACTTGAAATCTACTTTTTTTCATGTCCATGCATCTTTATGTCGAGATGATCAATTTGAAGATATTTGAGCATTAAAACAACCTTTTTTGGTGAAATTTTTGAAGTGGGCTCTAATTTGATTATTCAGGGTTTGGGCTCTATATAAACCTTTTTCTTTTTTAAATTAAGTTGATTTATTTCGATTTTATGGATATCTTTACCCAATAGGGTAGCTGGGCTGCAAGTTCTCCATTAAATTTGTGGAAAGAAGGGACTTATTGGATATGTTCCATTATACTATCGCTATTTTCCATATTATGACAAGATCTATAGTTTACGAACTCAATTTTAGAGGGGATTTTGGGTCGAGCAATTTTGATACTTTTGGATTTTTTAAAAATAGAAAATTTGAGATATTTGGTTTTGAAAAATCAAATATTTGAGATTTTTAGGTTTTTAGAAAACCAAAATTTTGAGATTTTTGTTTTTAAAAAACCAAAAATTAGAGATTTTTGATTTTTTAAAAACTAAAAAGTGTAAGTTATTTGTTCCATGTATCATGTGACGACATGTTTATATTACTTCATTTTTTCTAATTTTTTGATACTTATAAGTAAATAGCACAATTAAAGATAATTTCAATTATTTTTTAAAATAATTTAATTAAAATACAAAAAATAAAATAGGAAATAATTAATTAAAAATACAAATTATATGAGTTAATAATATACTACTATATAAAACAAAAAAAGGGTAATACTTGTATCTATCAATAATAAAAAAAAGATAATTCATTTTCTATTTTTCTCTTTGGTATACCCATAGATATCTATATCTATCTCTCACTTCCATCCAAATAATATAATTGATATTGATTTTAAAAACAATTACTTCAAAATGTAATTATAAATAGAACTATAATTATATTTTAAAATTTATTGATATGTTTTTATATTTTTATTTTTTAATATTCTAGAATAATATATAAATAATATATTTACTAATATAATCAATATTAATTTTAGAGTAGGTTAAAAGATAATATAATTAAAATATAAAATTCATTATTATCTAATAGTGAAGAAGGATTCATAAAATATTACAGTGAACGATATATATATATATATATATATGAAAAAAAGATGGGATTAGCCAATTAGCTCTTATGAACATATGAGCCCAACAGTTCAGATTGAATCTGGGCCGATCTGATGATCACAGATGTCCGGTAGTATTTTAATTTTAGGTTCTTTCTGTAAATTCAAATTATTTGAAATTTTAAACGTATGTTCATAAAAAATAGATGAATCTGCAAAAAATATCAAAAAAATATTTTGCATAAAATAAATTATCCAAAATACCCCCAAAAAGTTTTGAGGGTATTTTGGTTATTTTATTTTTCACGAATTTTTTTTTTTATATTTTTTTTAGGTTCGTCTTGATGAAAAGAACACACGTTTAAATTACAAGTGATTTGAATTTATAGAAAATGAAATAAAATTCAAGTATTATCGAACATCAGTTATCGTCAGATCGATCTAGATTCAATTGAACCATTGAATTGGTATGCGTGGGCTAATCCCAATCTTTTCTTTTTACATTATATATATATATTGTTTTTTTTTTTAATAATTTTATTCAGTTTAAAATTTTATATAATCATTAATATTTAATTTACATGCCTACCATATCACCAATTTATTTTATATAAGCAGGCCCGCAAGAGAAATCGGTGAATGGCAGGTTGTCTCTCTCCACGACCAACTCATTCCTCACTGTGCACAATCTTCACTCCGAAAACTTTTATACCCATCATTTTGCATTGTTCCAAATCACAAAAGTGAGAGAAAACAATGAGAAAACTCCTCAAATCCCCCCTCAACGCCCAAGGCCACCACCTTTTCAGACCTCCTTCTATCCCCCCTCATTTGGGTTTCCTCCGTATGCCATATGCTTCCTCTTTCTCACGTCCTTCTGTCTCTTCTATGGAATTTGAAATCTCTATTATCGACCGGGCCTGCAACTTGGTCCAAAACTATCAGTGGATCTCTCTCAAAACTGAGTTTCCTTCGATGAATCCATCAATGGCTGCTTTTATTCTATCTAAACTCTCTAGCAATCACTACTTGGTTCTTCAATTCTTTTTATGGGTCTCTGACCAACCAGGATTCAAGCACTCAGTTGAGACTTATTGCACAGCGTTACTGGTTTTGAGCAATGGTGGTTTGAGAAGTGGCATATTCGTTCTTATCCAAAGGCTCATATTCAATCACAGTAAGTCTTTTCTAATTGAAGCTGTTGATTTCCTTGTCAATCACTCTGTAAAACCGATGATTTTGGACACGATTATTGTTTCTCTGGTAAGGGTTCAGATGTTTGAGGAAGTTGTTTTGGTGGTCGGTGTGATCAATAGACATGGGTATATTCTTCCTTTCCACTATTACAATAGATTGGTGAGATTTTTGAAGATGAACGAGGGGATTCTCGATCTGAAGAAAAAATGTGTAAAAAACAATGCCTTACATAGGTTGAAGAAATTTGGTGCAGGGGATGGGTACACTGATTATTCAGGGAATAAATTTGACCCCAATATTTGCAAGCACATTGGCTTGATCAGGGCGTTGTCTCACAAAGGCAAGGTAGAAGTTGCTCTTAGGTTGAGAGAAAAATTGCTTGTTGTTCCTGATATTGGTACTTATAACGGCATGATGAATTGTCTCTGCAAACTGGGATATCTCGCAAAGGCAAATAGGCTTTTGAAAGAGATAATGGAATTCGGGTTGATCCCCAATTGTGTCACCTATAATACATTAGTTGATGGGTTCTGTAGATTTAATTATATAGATGGTGCTTTTGTTCTTCTAAATTTTATGGTGATGAATGGCATCAAACCCAACAGAATCACTTGTAATATACTTGTTAATGCCCTTTGCAGCAGGGGCCAATTGGAAGATGCTAATAAGCTTTTAGCAAAGATACTAACTGAGCACGAGGCCTCTAATCTGATCACTATGACCATTCTTATGAATGGACATTGCAGGGAAGGGAATATGCTTAAGGCTCGTGAATTATGGGATGAAATGTTGAGAAAAGGCATCTTGGTAGACGTTGTTTCATATAATGTTATTATTAAAGGATTTTGCATGGGAGGCGATATGAGCTTTGCTTATAAGTTCTTCTCTGAAATGTTTAAGAAGGGAATTTCTCCTGACATTGTGACATATAATACTCTCATAAATGGACACTGTAGAGAAGGGAAATTGGTAGAAGCATGGATCATGCACTCTAAAATGTCTTCTAATGGTGTTTTACCTGATCACATCTCTTATGCACTGGTTATTCAAGGCCTTTGCTTGCACGGAAATGTATGCAGAGCACATCAGCTTCTCCACAAGATGTTAGATGATTCTATCCTTCCTGACCCTTTTGTGTGGAATTTAATTATTGATGGGTATGGAAGATGTGGAGAAATAGAGCTTGTATATGAGGTGAGAGATCATATGTTAGCATTAAGTGTGGCGCCGAACTTGTTCACCTACAATGCCCTTATTCATACTCATGTGAAGGAAGGATATCTTCAAGGAGCATTCATGTTGAAGGAAGAGATGTTTGAAAATGGGATTCTTCCTGATGTGGTTACGTACAACCTGCTTATAAATGGGTTGTGTAGTTTTGGTCATGTATATTTTGCATTTCAATTGCACGATGAAATGTTAAGAAGAGGGTACCACCCTGACGCATTCACTTATACAGAGTTGATTCGTGGGCTTTGCATAAGTGGCAAAACGCATGAAGCCCATGAGCTTTTGGTTAAGATGAAGAAAATGGATGTGCCTCTTGACCATGTACCATACCACATACTTATAACGAAATATTGCAAAGAGAAGCAGTTGAATATTGCATTTGATCTCTATGAGGAAATGTCAGAAAAGGGTCTCCGTAGTAAGGCTTGTACCTATCATACCCTTATTGTTGAATTGACGAAGAAGGGCCATTTTAAAGAAGCCCTGCAGGTATATCATAGCATGGGTATAGAATCTGCCATATAGGATAGAGATTTCGTTGCTATTTCATCCATGGAAGTCTCATTGGGCACCTCTTAGAATCCATTTGGTTCCCAAAGCTGTTTCATAGACATGGGTTTTCCATGTCATGGGTGATATAGCATGGCATGGGCAGTCCAAAAGATACTCAGATATTTGAGCTCCTCCGGTGTACCAGGAGATGAGCACAACACATTTAAATGTGTGCATCAAGATCGGGCTTTGGGGCTCGTGAGGTATGTGTTGTACTTGGTCATGTGATCTACTGGTAAATTTCCTTTCCTAGTGGTTTCTCTTTAAAAGATCAAGGGATAGTTATTAGCTTGTTTAGTTGATATTCAATAAGTATTTATTGTTTATTAAAAATCATGTCTCTTTTTCTTCCGGACACCTGCAAATAGTTAAACTATGCAACTAATTCGTGTATTGCTTGTCCATTGACGATTTTTGTCTGAAATAAGGATAATATAAGTTCTGGTGGAAAACTGAAAACATTTATTTCTGATGGTCTTCTGATTGAAACATTTGCATTGATAAATATCGCTCTGCCTGCAGGTATTATTCTTGTATGGGGTGCGGCCTTTCTCGTTTGGACAGAACCTCATTAAAGAAATGCACAATTGCACCCAAGTGATCTCACTTCTTGTTGCACTTCCTTTCTGTTCGTTACTTTAAATGAAATCTGGTGCGAGGCTGGAATTTTTAAATGTCAAGAAATGGGGTAATATGTCTCAAATATTCAAAAAGTGATTCCCAAATTGCGGTTCCTATTGGTAGAGCTACAAGCTGAGAGTCTTCTTACAATATTCCTTTTCATAGGTTTTATTTATTTATTTATTTTTGTTTGGTAACATGAAACAGCTCATACGGGCATTATTACATTTTGCACCATTATAACATCACTGAATGGGACTACCATTTCCCCCTTGTCTGCATGACTAGATGTTGGGCACTTTACTGACAGTGCAGAAATGCGTTTATATTTAATATTTTGGATGAAAAGTCAAATTATGGTGGCTGTCAATGAAAAGAGAGCCCATTGATCAGAGTTAAGTCTTGAACTTTTGATTGGCTTGCGAGAAGTCTAATCAATGAAGTATTCAAATTCGTAGGATTTTCTTACTTGATATGGTTGATAACCAAATTTTTGTTTTTGTGAATTTCTCACACATACATTGTCATTCCGCTAGCAATTTTTTTTCTAAATCCTCTTTAATTCAGTGACAAAAAATCCGTTGTTTCTCCATGCCACTGTGAAATTATGTTGTTTTGCAGTACTCTATTTCACTTGCTTTTATTTGTAATTAAAGCATGTCTCCTTCATAAATTTAAATAGAAGTAGCATGACAAGAATCTTAAGATTCTTAACCATTCCACATGACTGTTGAAAGTTTTCTCTAGGATTTTATCAAGTCTGTTAAGTTCCCCAGATTTATGCTTGGTAGTTCTAATATCTTTACCATTTAGTTAGTAACAAGACATCTTAAATATGCTTTGTGAATATTGGAGTTATCTTTTTTTAGAATTGATTACGTTGGGGGAATTCACCATTTTATGGGGAAATGATGCCTTTCTCAGTGAATCACCTCTTGTGCTGCTGCTGGATTCTTACTTCCCAGCTGGAGATAGTGTCTATTTCTGAAGCTTTGATTTACTGCTATATTATGGAGCCCATGAAAAGTGAGGAACAAGCACTGTTTGGCACTATTAGAGAGTGGATTCATGATCCAGCCATTGCTTGGGATTTAGCAGGAGAGGATTTTCGAGTTTTCAGGCCCCCAAATTTTGTTAGTGACTGGTACTTGGTGGTTGACATTGAATCTCAAGACTATTTTTGGGGGTCTGTCCAATATGGCACCTCAAAGCTTTAATGTTATTGACAAGTTGTATGGACCAGTGTTTGCAAATCCGAACCGGAATGGTTAACCGGACATGGGCCTAGAAGCGGTTTAACCGGCCTAATCGGTAAACTGGCCGATTTAACCATTCTAACCGGCAAGTCCCGGGCGGTCAAAAACTTGTTAAAAAATAAAAAAGATAAAAAAAAAATCTGCTAAAATATGAAAAACATATAAAGAATGATTAAAATAAAGCACATTCAAATGAAGTTGAAAATTAATGAAAAAAATAGATTTTAACGAATCGATTTTTGAATTAAAGTGAGTATTAATGACAAAAACAATTTTTAATCTTTACCATAATGTGAAGAATATTAAAAAATGCATTACAAATCAAATTCCTTATTTTTGGGAATTTATGTATATTTTTTTGATTTTGTTTTTAAAAAATACCGATTGATCACCAAAATCGCCCAAAGCCGGAACCAGCCACTGGCCGATTCTGATCTAACTGGGCGGTTAGCGGTTAGATTGCTTGGTTTTTCTAACAATGGTATGGACACTCCGGGCCCAACTAGCACTGAAGGACTTTCTAAAGACTGCTCTGAGGCTATTTGTTTGACCTTATTAGAACCCATGGCTTGTTGGGCTTTACAATGCCACTATTGTTGAAGCCACCACCATCTTGACCAATTAAGCTTTTTTACATAATCTATCTCTAGACCTGCCTTTTTGGAGGAGGACTCATCAAACATCCATTGGGTGTGCTAAGGTAAGGCACATGCTTGAAGACTAGTGAACCTCATTGAAGATATTCTCCATCTTTGCCACTCTGCAATGGTTAGCACTTGCTGTGTTATTAGAGAGACTAATGATGTAGCAAATAGATTAGGGGAATGTGTAGTATCCTCAATGCCTTGGTGGTATTTAGCACCTCGGATGCCTATGGCGTGAATTAGTTTTATGTGGTTCTATCAATTTACAGCACCACTTTTCTTCTGTTTTTGCATCATACTACGCAAACCATTTCCCAAGCCAAATTAGAGAGGGATTGCCAAGTCCGATTGGTTTCTTCCAGATCATGGAAATATGTTAGGCATCCTCTCCCCCCACCTGCCACCTCTCTCTCTCTCTCTCAATACACGTGGATATTTTTGAAAATGAAAGCTCACTCCAGTATTCTGATTCATTTGTAAATTTCTCCACTATAAGTTAAAACTTGGACTTGGGTCTCCTTCACTATCGAAGTATTCATTTGTAAGTTTACTATATTGGAAATCAATGTCCCTTTGTATAATGGCAGTACCTAGATAAGAGGTAGGTGGGAAGCTGCATGACTGTATTGGCCTTTTGGGATATGCAACATAAGAACTTCCTGCCTCCATTCGCTCAAACATAATTTAACCTCTAATGCCACTAAAACCACTTATCAATCAGACAAGTCATCTTGAGAGTCGTCATGCGCTTCATGAATATCATCCTCGACGGCCTCCATGTATTCTTCTTCATCGGTCTCCTCTGAGTTAGCTTCCTCCTCGACCTCTGAAGCTAATGTGCGAGTGCGACTAGACCCAACAGCTCCTCTACTCCTTTGTGCTTTAGTGTTAGGTTGATCTTCTTCATTAGCCCCTGTTGCTAGCTCGACATCAAGCCATGTAAGATCCTCACCCTCAAACACACGTTCTTGTCTTGGATCCATGGTCTGCTCACTTCTGGAATCACCATCAGCTTCATATAATTGAATAGGGTTGACTTTCGTGCGATTTTCATATCTCTCCCTAAGCCGCGTGTTATATCGCACATAAACCAAATCATTCAACTTTTTCTGCTCCAACCTATTTCTTTTTTTGTATGGAGTTGTGGTAGAAATTTGAAATCAGATAAATTAGATTTTAGATTAGAAAATTGAAATTCAAGAAATAAGGATTAAGGAATAAGGAGTAAAGGACTTACATGCTCAAAAGCACTCTAATTGCGCTCACAACCAGATGAGCTACATGTGAGATTCAACACTCGAATAGCGAGATGTTCTAGATTTGGTGTCTCGCTTCCATATAATGCCCACCATGCAGTTGTATAATATTTTGTAATTTAGAATATAGTTAAAAATTAAAGGTATAAAATAAATAATGGAACTATACATAAAGTAAGAGACAAGTAAGATTATTTTTGGGCTTTTGGCCTTTACCAGGATCTGTAGTGTCCCTATTTTCAGTGGCAATATCTCTCCCAAAGTTTCCCAAGGCTAACTTGAACGTAATCAATTCATGGCTCTGGATCTCATCCTGGATATCTTTGGCTGACACCAACCTCTCCAGCACATCTAAGAACCCACCATTTATTACACGATCTGACTCAATGGATGGGTGCTTGTAGTGAAGAGATAGGTTTAAAAAATAACCGGCTAAATGGAAGTGTCTGTGAAGCTGGGTATCCCATCTCCTATCAATAATTTCAAGAATAGCCTTGCGCATATTTTCATCATCCTTTAAAACATCGTTTATTTCAGTTCTTGCCCTAGTCATTGCCTCATGTATGTAGCCCATGGTGGGCTTTGCATCACCATCAACCAGTCGAAGCACTCTCACTAAAGAGTGAGCCACCTCCAATGCAATAATTATTTGACTCCAAAAAGATGTATTCAGAATAATTTTTTCAAACTTTCTCCCATCCTTATGCTTTGACCATTTACTTTGACTCCATTGCTCTGAAACAAACATGGTCCTCAAGGCACTGTTTTGCTTGGCTATGCTTCAAAGAGTGAGAAATGATGTGGCAAATTTAGTGATACTCAATCTCACTAATTCTCTCTTCTTTGTAAAAGACCTCATCATGCTTAGGACTATGGTGTGATTGTAAATAAATCCAACAACAAACATAGCTCTTGAAATCACCCCACTAAATAAAGATGTTGTACCCATTTCCTTAAGCATAAGATTAACACAGTGAGCTGCACAAGGAGTCCAAAACATATGCTTCCTTTTCAAAGTCAAGAAATTCCCAGCTGCAGCATAGTTGGCAACATTGTCAGTGATAATTTGTATCACATTTTGCTCCCCAACAAAATCGACAATCTCATCCATCAAGCCACATAAGTATGTATCATCATGTGATTTGTCTGATGCATTAATAGACTTAACAAAAAAAGTACCTGTTGGGCGGTTAACCAAAAAATTAATGAATGCCCTTGATTTTCCATCGGGCCAACCATCACACATAATAGTGGCCCCATATTTCTTCCACCCTTCTCTCTGAGAAATCAAAATTTTATTCACATCAAATACAACATCCTTCGACAATGGCTCCCTAACCTCATTTAGTAAAGGAGGAATAAGTTTTGGGCCATATTGCCCAACTGCCTGGTGGACCATACTTGCAAAACTATCCAGAGTTGTAGTATTGAAAGGAATGCCGGCCATGTAAATCCACTTTGCAATCCACTTACATACCGACTTCTTTTGTTCTTTCTTATATTTATTGTCAATTGTGGTTTGTTTTGTTTTTTTCTCTCTCCTGAACCACAATTTCGGGGATAGGGGTGAAAAAAGAATCCATTGGCCCCTTAAAGAGA